TGAATCGATTTCGAAGCTTCGACAGAAGCTAAAACAACTAGTTTCTCTGCAGAGCTAGTCACAGGGTCATCACCAGCCTCTTCCATTACTCTATCAATGGATTGAGTCTTGTCCTCTACATTAGCTTCGGTTTTGTTTTCACTCTCTACCTCGAGAGTTTCTTCTTCCTCCTCTTTACCTTCTTCTTCTTCTTCCTCTTCCTCTACTTCTTGTTTGCTTTCACTCACTCTTTGTCGTTTTGCCACGGGACTATCTAGCTCCACGATCTCTGTGCTTCCTTGTCCGGTTTTGTTTTCGACGTCGACTTCCATGTCTTGCTCCTCACCCATGTTTATTGATGAGTTATCCACAGATGGACTTCCCACAGGTGAAGACTCCTTCAACAGAGAAAGATATTAAAGATTCTTATTAGTTATTACACTGAAGCCAAAACATGGTTGTGTGTGTGTGTTCTCTTTGCAAAAACTCTGGCACGGAGAGATATGTATACGTAAACAAAACATATTACTAACCTCTTGAGAGCCTTGACGTTCTCTTTTACGTCGCTTCAACACACATATCGCACACATACAATCACTCTTATGGTGCCTTCTGCAAACGAAAAATGATGACTATTAGTACCAAATGAGAAAATATTATCCCAAGAGCTCCGTTGAAAAACCAAATTTAGCTGCAATGTTGACTAAGATTGGCTATGTAGATACAGTAGACTTGTAAAAGATAACCTCTTGCCTATAAAACCTAGAACCTTTATGAAATTATGAAATCAAAATCAGGATAACAAGAACACATTTCAATATGTGGACAAAAAGTTACAAAGGCATACCCATGGCGTTTCTTCTGCTTTGATTGACTACCTTTGGTGGAAGCCTTGCCACCATCCTCTTGTTGACCAGTCTCTGTTGTAAACCGAAGAAACCAAAATAAGTTCAATAGTAAGCCATCAATGCATAGCTAGTCGATAAAATGCAAGCAATGTATTGGTTAACACTACTATCTAATAACAGCTCTGCATTGATATATCAGCAAAAACAGTTTGTTTAAAACAGAGTTGGGTTTCTTCTTCTTTTATCACTAAAATGTGCCATATGCATTTCAACAATGACATTTCATTTGCTATAATAAGCAAAAAATAAGCAATGACTCTTCAGGATATGTTCACAATGTCCACTTAATATGCCTTAAGTAAACCAGAAACGTAGATACCAAACTAACAATGCTTGAGAAGATGAATTGTAAGAATACCTGAAGATTGCTCAGTATACAATCCCGCAGAAGTCCAGTACTTCATGAAATTCTTCTTGACTCGCTTCATCAGGTCAACGATGTAATCGCCTTTCTTATTGTACTTGGAACAGTTATTCCAAATGTACTGGACATCCTTGTAAACATCCTCAGAGTTCATGTATATCTTGCCTTTCTCGAAGTTACTGCATATCGTTCCAAAATCCATAGGTGTCTTGATGATATCGAAATAGTCCTAAATCACATAACCAGAAAACAACATTCACAGCTGTCAGAACATCAACGCTGAAACAACTTAATCTATAGTGACAGGGGAAACAAAATGCACACTACAATTCAGTATCCATCTGTGTTAAGAGTTTAAGTTTGTCAAAAAAAAACTCATAAGACAGATGAAGAGTCACGAAATTCATAGTTCGATCATACGCCATTTTTTTCTTCTACTTTCAGATTTGTAACAAACTGCAAATCCATAAGAGCTAAGATATAAATGTTTGAAAACTCTTTAAAAGACAGAGATAGTAAACTCTGTATATATATAAGCCTAATATCTATTCCATGAACTAGAGCATTTATAAATCCAGTCAATTGAGAAGAAAAGTAATTGGTCTGCAAAATCATAAGTAGCTATGTACCTAGGAAGATTAACATAAATAGTTGAGCTTTTCACAAGCCAAGGTCTAATAAGTAACAAAACCTCCAAAAACAGAGCCTTTAATCAATAACCATGAAGCTAATATCAACACTTACAGGTATTCCAAGAGCTTCAGGGTTAACAGGAACATTAAATGGATCAGCAGCTTCCATCTTCATAATCTTCTTGATCACCTAAACCAATAATGACACCAAAACACATAAATCACATCAGGCAAAAATATCCAAGCTAGAGCAACAGTGAAGGTAGATATTATTAATCTGAACATACGGTAAGAGAATCATCCAGTTCTTGCTTATTGTATCTCGAATCTTGATCAGTCTTCTTGACCTCGTTCTGAGAAGACGAAACCGGCGCACTTTCCGGTTCTACTTCCACCTTCTTAACTTGAGAATCCTCCTTAGGCGTTGTTTTCGTTTCCTTTTCAACTACACTCACGTCCTGAACCTTAACCACAGCAGCAACAGCATCACCACCACCACTCTTCTCAGTAACCGAGCTGCTAGCTCCATCCACCGCCTTCGACTTGATCTTTATCCCTTTCGTCTTCCTATAAACATTCAGAAAAACCGGTTTACGAAGAACCGGTTCCTCCTTCTTCTCAACAACAGCCGCCACAACAGGTTTCTCTGGCTCCACTCGAGGAGGACTGCTCTTCTTCTTCTCGGTATCATCAGTAGTAGTTTCTGGTGCTTTCGAGGTCTTTAGTTTAACCTTGACACGCGAAACCGATGACGACGCAACGGGATCTACACTACTAGCAGAAGCAGCTATAGGTGGTGATGAATTGCCACTCACAGTGGAAGAAGCTTCCATTTTCGATGATTCGTGTTCGCTGTTTTCTTCGCGCTCAGCGGGAGGAGCTTCAGAGCTTTGCTCGGAGGTTTGCTTCTCGTTGGACTCATTCAAGGTCTCTTCTTCGGCGATGGATTTCGACTTTTTCGATTTCTTCCCTTTCTTATGTCCTCTCTTACGCTTCATCGCCTCTTATGAGAAATTCGACGAATTCGAATCTTCTGCACATACCAAATCAGAGAGATTTCAGTCAAATTAGACAAATTTGCTACAGAGAAACCTTCGATTCATGAAGCTAAGCTGAAGATCGAATCAGAAAATCAAATTGGAGACATGAAACACAAACAATTCGCAGTAATTTGTAAATCGAGAAATCAACAATCTATCACAGCCTAATAATCAAAAACAACCTTGGAATCCACCAAACAAAGGAGGGAAAAAAGCAGAGAAACCCTAAATCTACGGAAAAGCTAAGAGGCGAAGCAGAAAACGAGAGTTCTCGGTGAAGAGGAAGGAGATGAAGAGGGAGATTCAAAAAATTAGAATGAAAAAGTTGGAGGGAAATTGGATTATTTACCAAAACCGAAATTTAATAAACCCGAGACAAGAGCGCTTTTACGATTTCACAAACTCTCTTCGAACACAGACGATTTTTAGACGCCGAGGACGGAGATTATTAGAGCTTCTCTGCAAAATTTACTAGTTACGTCGTCGTTTCAACGTATGGGCTTTTAATGGGCCAGTAAACGCTAATGTGGGCCAACTCGTAAAACGCAGCGTTTTGAAAATAATAAAACACAACATTGTTTTGTGCGATAGGTTTATTTTTGGTTTTTAGTTCATTTCAAGACGAAATTAAAAAAAAAGGAAAGCAGCTGTAAACAATTAGTATGTGAAGCTTTATGCATATACATTTGTCAAATTAGCTACTTGAGCTATATTCTTTACTGTCACTTTAGCCAAGATGCTTGTGTTTTTTTTCTTTTTTTGGAACAGCTTTCAAGCCAAGACATGTTCAAACCATAAACAAGAATATTTTTAACGTTGTACTTCTATAAATTTCATATTCACAACGTTGTTAACTCTGTTTTCCTTACTTGTTTAGCAACTTATATGGATCTACTACTGATGATAGTAAAATTATTGGATCTGAATCGATTAGTAACACAAAAATGGTAAGGGATTATTATTATTTACGTAATGAAGAGTGGTAAAAAGTGGTGGAATGTTAAGTAACGATAAGAAATAGTATACTTTATCAGTTTTTCTCCTATATACAATAAAAATGTATGCATGATTAATAAGAAAAAACAAAGAAAACTACAAATGTAATAATAATATTTAAAAACTTGCAAAACTGTTCTCTTCATCTAAAGTCTCTCAAGGAAAGGGCATCATCAAACTTGGAATATAAAGAGAGCAATAACGTAACTCACCACCAACCACATCATCTAATTTAATCCTTCTGCAAATATCTTCCCTTACAATATAGACACAAAGCTGTCCTGTTTCGTCGTTACAACATGTGACGAAGCTCTTTCCATACAAACTATCATCAACCAAGTACCTTTTAGTGTGAACCTGACTTAAAATGGGTAAATTGGGTAATGAGAGACTCATGAACTTAATCCACTCCACATCGACTCCATGATCCGCATTAGTAATTTTCTTCTTTGTCACCCAAATCTCAATGTTTCTTGTTTTTCTGCATTCTTCTAGCAACGAAAACCGATCTCCCTTGAAAGCCACGAGGACAGGACTATGGCAAGAATCTTTATTCTTACACCGTATAGTACAAAAAGGCTTAAATATCTCTTTCGAACAATCGAGGATTCGGATGGAGACAAGTTTCAAGATTATAATTAGAAATCCAATACAAATTTGGGTAATTGCAATAGATATAGACAGATAACTGTGAAATTAGTTGACAGCATCTGACAACTTTTGGCCTTTACTATTTAAATCAAAAAGTCATATGTATCCCTATAGGCGAGTGGATTTCATCTATCGCTTGTTACAAATGTATGTGGGTCCATGTATTATTTCATAGTATTTTATTATTTATTTTGACTTCTATATTAAAATAATGGTATCTAAAAATAAGAGATACGAGAAAGAAGGAAGATATAGGAGACATATAGATGAAAGTGATTGAATTCCCGTATCGGGATTGATCTCATTACTTGGCATTATATAGCCAGAGTTGTTACAGATATTTAGGGATTTACAAACGGTCATAAGACTCGGAATGAGATCTAAACTAAATGATTTACATAGTTACAAAGGAGTATATTCGCATATTCTATCACCCTCCCGCAGTTGGAGCGTCGGGACTCCTGACGGTCAAGCTGGAACGAAAATCCTCGAAGAGCTTTGTTGGAAGTCCTTTAGTGAATATATCTGCATATTGTAGAGAGCAAGGAACGTGAACTACCTTGACTTGGCCAATAGCTACCTTCTCACGAACAAAGTGAATATCCAGCTCAACATGTTTCGTTCGTTGGTGTTTGACCGGATTATGAGAAAGGTAGACGGCACTTATATTGTCACAATAGACAAGAGAGGCCTTGGTGATCGGGCAGCCAAGTTCAAGAAGTAAGTTACGAATCCAACATAGCTCAGCAACAACATTGGCAACTCCTCTATATTCTGCCTCAGCACTTGAACGGGACACTGTTTGTTGCCTTTTAGAGGACCAGGAAACCAAGTTACCTCCTAAATAAACACAGTAACCAGATGTTGATCGTCGTGAGTCTGGACATCCGCCCCAGTCCGCATCAGTATATGCAGTTAGCTGATCAACCTTGCCTTTCAGCAGCTGTAAGCCATGGCCTTTTGTCCCTTTTATGTACCGAATGATGCGCTTCAGTGCTTGATAGTGTGGTTGACGTGGAGCATGCATGTAGAGACAAATCTGATTTACTGCATAAGAGATATCTGGGCGAGTAAAAGTGAGATATTGCAGTGCACCGGCCAGTTGACGGTATTGTGTCGGGTTGGGAATTAGTTCACCAGAATCACTTGATAACTTGGATTTGAGATCCACTGGCGTGGAGCAAGGTTTGCAATCTTCCATGCCTGCTCGCCTGATAATGTCCTCTGCATATGCCTTTTGTGACAGGAAAATTCCACCATTGACAAAGTCAGCCTTAACACCGAGGAAGTAATGTAATTTTCCGGACTTTGACATGGGAAATTCTTTCTTCAACGAATCGATTATCTGTTGGAGAAACACTTTGTCTGAGGCTGTCAAGAGTATGTCGTCAACATATAGAAGGAGATATGCCTGCTTATTTCCTTTCCTGTAAATAAACAGAGAAGGATCGCTTTTGCTGCAGACAAAACCAAGATCAGTGACATATTTCGCAAAACGAGAATTCCATGCCCTCGGAGCCTGTTTTAGGCCATATATGGCCTTACGGAGTCGACACACATGATTGGGAAATTGCTTGTCTGTGAAGCCAGGCGGTTGGTGCATATAGATCGTTTCATCAAGTTCGCCATGCAGAAAAGCGTTTTTCACGTCTAGTTGATGTATCGGCCAGTCACGTGCAAGACTCACATCGAGGACCGCTCGTATCGTTCCTGGTTTAACAACAGGACTGAAAGTCTCGTTGTAGTCAATGCCTTCCTCCTGTGATTTCCCATTGGCCACCAAACGTGCTTTGTGGCGATTCAAAAATCCATCTGCATCAAGTTTATGTGTATATCTCCACATACATCTCACAATGTTAGTATCCGTAGGTCTAGGTACAAGATCCCATGTCTTGGTCTTAATAAAGGCATCATACTCATCAGTCATGGCTGGTGTCCAATTAGGATCAGAAAGAGCTTGGATATGAGAGTTTGGAATGGGTGAAACAGTTGTGAGAAGAGAGAAATGTGTTTTTGGTTTACGAATGCCATGTTTACTCCTGGTTTGCATTGAGTGTCCAGGTGGGTTTGGAACACTCGGAGGAGTTACAGTAGGCAGGGAAGGAATTGAGGGCTGTGGAGGAGCTGTGGAAGGAGGAAGTGATGGAGTCTGAAGAATTTCTTTAAAAACAGGGGAAGGTTCATCGTCGATATCGAGAAAGTGATAAGACGTGGTGTTGTTGGTTGTAACAGCAGCTGGGAAAATGGTTTCATCAAAGAAGACATGACGGGAAATGATTATTTTATTGGTTTTGAGATCCAAACACCTGTATCCTCGATGCTGAGATGGATATCCCAAAAAAAGACAAGGTGTGGATCTCGGAGACAGTTTGGGAAGATTTGAGTGGTTTAGGTTGGGAAAGCAAAGGCATCCAAATACTCTCAAATGAGTATATGTCGGTGTTCTGTTGAAGAGAGTGGTAAAGGGTATTCGATTGTGAATGGATGAAGAGGGGAGAATATTCAAAATGTGAACTGCAACATGAAGAGCCTCAACCCAATATACTGGTGAGAGTTTTGCTTGGAATAGAAGAGCACGGATTGCATTATTTATGGTGCGGATCATCCTTTCAGATTTTCCGTTTTGCTGAGAGGTATGAGGACAAGAGAAGCGAACCTGAATTCCTTTGGTATCGAAATACTTGAGAAATTCAGAA